GCCCGTCATCGATTGTCGTCGCCTACCGTCAATCACCACCAACTTCTGTCAACAACTGCTGACTAGAGGTGGCCAGTCGACGATATTACTTGGAAAGCTAGTAACTCATTCCCGTCTGTGGGACAAGGGGTCTTTGTAATCAAACTTCTGTCAACAACTGCTGACTAGAAGTGGCCAGTCGATGATATTACTTGGAAAGCTAGTAACCCATTCCCGTCTGTGGGACAAGGGGTCTTTGTAATCATCAATCAATAGTGGATTTTCGCAACAGGGCCAGGCGCCGTCTGGGTCAGGCGCCGTGGTTTTTTCTCTTTCCGGGTTTTCCACATAAAGGTTTCTGGAGTCATCACTGTTTATTTCTCTTTCATCTTTGTGTGTGTTAAATTCTCGTACAACAGTAAGATGATAATCTGTTACTCATGGATTTTCCAGCACGCATCAAATATTTTAAATTGAATCATCATCCAGTAAGATGATAATCTGTTACTCTACCGCCGTGGATTTTTCAGCACGCATCAAATATTTTAAATTGAATCATCATCTTAAATGTCACTTATAGAGAGATGATTATCACAGACAAATATTTTTCAAGTTCTACTTTGTGAGACGAGTATCACATTATAAGACGTGAGTATGATTTTGGTACTTTGAGTTGATTGGCATGTTATTGTGGCCCGAGTTTTGGTTGTGTTTGATAAAAGTGGGCTTCATGGCCAGAATTATGCTAGGAGGACATCCAAAGCATAATATGATGTCTCACGATCCTACGAATCCTGACAACCTATCCATATTTAAAATGGATCAAGCTCAAGCTCAGACTTGCCTGCCTTTGAGATGACTAAGATGGGTAATTTATAGGAGCTGTTACTTATATTTGAAATGTATTGAGTTTCATAGGCATATTCGAGCATGTATCTTATTCAAGTTTGGTTGCCTTTTTTTTTGCCTGATATATTTGGAACTGAGGTGCAACTGTAACATCTACCATTAATAGAAGACTTAGTTTTGTTCTTCACATATTCACTGGGTATGTTTTATCTTGTAAAACATGTATAAAAAGTTAAATGAGGCAACAAGCCCAAGTGTGTTAATGTTGTTGGATGTTTACACTTTCTGCAAGAGTGGTCTTGGGAACACCTTCAGATTGGAAGACCAATACTCCATGTACCATACTTACAAGAACTTGAAGGTATAAGCTTGGGATCTAGATATAGTCTTCACAGATTTTATTTTTAATTTCTTCCTTAATGTGATAAAGTAATGTAAAAATATATATTCAAGTGAAATGAGGACTATGTACGTCAAATGTCTGCATTAAATGTCAAGATATACAAAGATGAGTTTGATGGCCTCTTGAAGAGTCGGGTTTGAATTCAAATACCAAATTTGTTAGAGTATATTGCTTACTTATTACATATTCAAAAATAATTTTTTTGTAATATAGGTTATATAGGAACTTTATGATCATCAAATAAAATTATGTGTTGTTGATATATGTCTCTCTGGTGAGGAGATATGATTGACAAGGGTACCACTGTTTATCTTGGAGCATATTGAGTGACACTTACCAGATCGAGTTCTTAGATAGTTTTGCACATCACCATGAGTTTATGTGCAACCCGTAGACCTAAGATTTTATCGAGTTGATGGAAGAGGGAAGACTGATCTTGATTGTGTTGAACACCACAAAGGATATATCGCATTATGGGATAATCGATATTTATACGTCATAAGTAATGATGGTGGTGAGGAGAAAAGAATTTATTGAAATGTTTTGAATGCTTCCTAAACAGAAGTGAGGATGTGTTGAAATACTTTGCTGGTCTGTTGTTTCCTTAAAGTCGTCCTTTTGAATATTATAAAAGAGACTGCTCTGCTCTCAAGTAGGAGAGGAGGGTAAGATCTAAAAGAATGGAGGGTGTTAGCTTCATTTTTGGATGTTACGAGTGTAAGTTGTCCACCAGTATGGCTCAAGATGGTCTAAGGTTCCTCCGTAGCATCTGATAGCTCAAGCCACCCACTTAGGACTTTAGCACTAGTTCGGGACAAGAAGCTAGGGCTGTGGCAATTTAGCCTTACTCGGGGAACCTGCCAAAGGGATGGCTTGTCCAGGATATGAGATGTGCTTCATTCCTAATTTGATGATTAGAATTCAAACTTCCGTTTGGAGCCTTCCATGGCCAAGGGAAGTCGCGGTATCTTCCTACATGCGTTATAGGAAAATTCAGGTTTGAGACACCCTACACACATCGTGGTATGGGACGACTATTGACACATATTTCTTTAGTAAATGATAAATGAGAATACTTTGTTTTAGAGTTACAGAAATAAATTTCATTCAGATGAAGTCTCTCATAGTTTACAAATCACAAAAATGCTCTATCGAGCATTCCTAGCGAAAACTAAGGTTTTTGGTTAGTTCGGCGCCCCAACGGCGACCCTGGACTCATAGGCACCCAAAAATGTTTCCTTGACATCCCAATCTGAGAACACAACATTCTGGTGCAAGTCTCTGGGTGCCTAGTCACCAATCCGAGCTTTTAGGCCCCCAAAAATAGCTTAAAACCAGCTCCTTCCCAAGAGGTCAGCATTATAGTGCCACATGGGTGGTGCCTAAGCACCAGAATCCTTGTGTCACGGCACCAAATGGGTGCCTAGGTTTCGGTCACTTCCTTGGTCATGAAAATAACCTTTTTGGGTGCCATTTAGACTCCCAAAGTTGTCGTATTCATAGAGAGGTGATCCCGACTTTCTTTATAGATGTAAAATGTGATGTCATGAAAATAACCTTTTTGGGTGCCATTTTGACTCCCAAAGTTGTCGTATTCATAGAGAGGTGGTCCCGACTTTCTTTATAGATGTAAAATGTGATGTATGTGATTATATGCTTAATTTCTTTAATAGTTATTCTTAATTTGCAACAAAGTCAAAAACTTGATCCAAAGCAAAAACTAAGTAAGTTTTCTACTATGAAATAAATAAGAATATAATTATGATATTTAAATATGGGATACTAAGCAAGTATACGTA